GAAGAAGAGGGTTGTAGGAAGTAAACCCTTTCTCTAAAGCTTTTTACGTCAAATCCTCCAAGAAAGGCCTCTTGCTCTAAGGAAGAGGGAGCTCCAGCTGTCTAGGGAAGAAGATAATCAGCCTTGAAAGACCTGATGTTGAAGAATACTCTATAGGAGAAGCCAAAAGAGCCAAGCAGCTCAAATCCCCCCCCCCTCGCTCCCTTTTTGGCCAAAAATGGGATGCTCCACTCCCCTTTAACCTTCCAAAAGTAGAAACCTTAGCAGATTTTCATCCTCCCCATGCACATATAACCAAATCCAAGGCATATATGCTCTTTTCCATTGTCTAAGGACGTGTGCCTGATGAGAATCCCGAGAAAAAAAATGGAGCAAAAATTGGTCTGGCGCCTAGGCGCCACAACTTTAACCACTATGTGTTGGGCCTAACACCTTATCACTGGACCCCAGAGCACCTACTTTTGAGGCTCTTTGTTTTGAGAGCCTTGAGCTTGCTATGGGGGCCCGGGCGCCCAGACTGATGCCTGGGTGCCTAGCATTGGCGCCTAAGCACAACTCTAACTCCAAAAACTTTAGTTTTCCTCGGGATCGTCTAACAAAAGATTTATTTGATTCATAGAGTATGTTGAATGTGTATGACTAAAATACAGTACCATAACCTCAAACGTTTTTTTTATGGACATTAATTCAAGGATTTTGGTTCAAACAGGTGCTTCGAATTACCGTGCGGGTACGTCGTTATAAACCCTAATTTTCCCAGAAACGCCCGCAAGAAGCTTTGATGGATTCCTTTGACCATGGGATGCTTTGGATGGATGAAATATGGTCTCTAAACACCAGAATGGACATTAAACATACCCCAAATCATAGCTGATGCTATCTAATGATGGACTCTCAAGGGTAAGAATGAATCGTTGCAGACTTTATTTTTGTTCCCCAAACACATATCATGAGGTCTAGATGGTTGTCTTGAGTTATGGGACTCTATGAATGAATAGTAAATATTCACAAGTCATTCGAGTGGATACCCTACGTGTGTGACATCAAAAATTGATGCCATGGAGTGGGGGAAATTAAACTGATCTCCTTTTTCTAGGCTAAAATGATTCCACATTTTCCATCAACATGTAGAATCATCGATAAAAATGAAGGATTACTACAATCTTGTATATCTTGGGTCAAGGACTAGGGTTATGGAGAAGAAACAGTCATTGATCGTAGGGGTTGCAAAAAAAATGCTTTCTAACTTAAGGACTTCTTTAACATCAGCTTAAATCCTATCTCTAACACAAAACCTAAAGGGCTAACTAAGAGAAATGAAGAACAATATTTCTCAAGAGTTTTCACTTTCGTGGTGGTTGATGAAGCGTTCACTTTGCTTGGTCCTAGCTTCTTCCACGTCAGAATGAAGATCAGGTCTTCTTGCTCCAAGAAAGCTCAAGGGCTTTCAAGAAAACCCTCACACTCACTCACCTCTCAAGAAGATGAGATGGATGAATGAGGGATGAAAAACTGAGAAGAAGACTTACCTCTCTACAAAACCAATACTGAAACAGAAATAGGTTTGACGCGAATGTTCCAGGACCGCAGTGCGGG